TGTGGCCACTCAGGGATATTCAGAGGGTTATAAGCCTAACCCTAGAATGCATAAAATGACTTGACAAAAATCCAGCTTTGTGTAGCTTTTATTCTATTGTGGAAAAAAAGTTAAAATTAGAAAAACACATTTGTTAAGATATTTAAGATAAAGTCATGAAACACATCAAATGCAATCTTGTGTGCAAGATTGTACTTGCAATATTGGGCTGGTCTTTAATTGGATAATCAGAAGTTAAAAAAATATTTTTCATCAGAACTGGCACTTTGCCTGTCATTTATCTCACCAATGAAACTTTTACCTAGAGAACAGAATTTTACATGTAACTACATTTTTTAAAAGGAAAAGAAAAAAAAAGATAATTAAAAGAGGGGAAGCAACATTCTATTTTTTGACATGAGAAATTGATCCCAAGCCAGGATTTTTTTGAGAGAGAGAGAGAGTGAGTGAGTGGTAGAAAGAGAGGGAGAGAAAGAAAATCCCAAAGTGGGGCTCAAGTTCATCTGATGTGGGGCTTGAAGTCACCAACCGTGAGACCACAACCAGAGCCAAAGTCAGATGCTTAACCAATTGAGTCACCCACACACACCTCAAGCCAGGATTCTTAAACAACCTCAGTTTTGGAAACCTTTGTCTTTTCCAGAATGAAAGCCTAAAAGACACCAACTCTCTTCCTGGCATCTTTCCCACTCCCTCAGTTAGAAAATTTAAATAATTGATTATCCTACAACATGTTTGGTAGTGTTTCCACTTAAAAGTGGGTTCACACTTGAAAAGAAATTAGGGAAAGATGTCAAATGTTGTACTAGAAAGATATTCCCCCTATCAATACTCATATTGGTTCCAAAATTAATTTTTTAAACCAGGTGTAATACAGCCAACATCTAGCTCTCAGCCTGCCTTGGTGCTTGTGAAAAAAGGCAATAAATTATCAGTGTTATATGTTAAAATATTATTTGTCATCAGGACATTTATGATTATTACATAGGCAGAACGCTAAATATAGATGAAAGGATCTACTATAGCCAAGAGTCTTAAAAAATGGTTCAAAAAAAGAGTGATGGGAGCTAGTTTAATAGAAACAGAAGCTCAGGATGGAGTGTTCCTAGTAGAGTAGGAGTTGGCTGTGTGTCAATTTTGGATGATCCCAAATGATATTGCTCAGCACCATGTTCATAGGTAAGAAATAAGATGTGTTACACACTCTATTCCATAGAGAGGTTGAAGAGAAAGCGTTTTGGGCAGGGTGAGAGTTTTTGGAAAAAAAAATAAATGTAATAAATCACATAATGCCAAAGTGATGCTTTTAAACTAAAACTTTAAAAGTGTCTGCTTGGAGAGATCCAACAGGGTAAACACAACTTTTACTTAAGGAGCATTTTATTTCAGAAAGAACAGAACAATTGAAAGGTAGTTGAATGTCTTTGATGGAATAAGTGATTTCACCTAAAGTAATATAAATATTGAAAACCCTCTACAGTGAGAAAAAAAAATCAGCATCATCCTAAATGAGAAAGGTAAATATGTGCTATTTCATATTTTTATAAGTTTTAGTTCATCATATACTCAAATTTAAAACCTAATATTTAATATATGATAGCAAATGTGTCATATTAAAACAACCATTATATAGATTATATAGTTCTGATATTAAATATAATTTACAGTTGAATAATAATATTAAATAGTAATATTAAATCTCTTTGAAATACTGAAAACTTCAATAACTAATATATAAGTATGGTAAATAAATAATAGAGAAAACTTCATTTTGAACCAAGAGCTAGTAAGGAGTACACATTTATTCTACAAGTTTTGTCTTGGGAATATTTTAATAAGACTTAAAATAAAACAATCCAGGGGCATCTGGGTAGCTAAGTCAATTTCCATACTGACAGCATGGAGCCTGCTTGGGATTCTTTCTCTCCCTCTCTCTCTCTCTCTCTGTCTCTCTCTCTGCCCTTCCCCTACTTATGCACACATTCTCTCAACCCCACAAAATAAAATAACCATTTAAAATAAATAAATAAATTGGGGCATCCAGGTGGCTCAGTCGGTTAAACATCCGAGTTCGGTTCAAGTCATGATCTCGCGGTTCATGAGTTCGAGCACCGCATTGGGCTCTGTGTTGACAGCCTGGAGCCTGGAGCCTGCTTCAGATTCTGTGTCTCCTTCTCTCTCTGCCACACCGAGCTTGAGCTCTGTCTCTGTCTCTCAAAAATGAATAAATGTTAAAAAAAAAAGTAAATAAATAAATAAGTAAAACAATCCAGTTAATAAAATTACAACTTTAGAGGAATCCATAAAATAAAGAAACATAAATGTTTTTAAAATTAATTACAAGGTTTAAGCTGCTAATTAATATTAAATATACAAACATAACTGAAGAAGGTATGAAAATGTTGATATGACCAATATCAAACTGATTTAGAATAATATCACCCAGTCTCTCAATCATTTGGATTTTTCCAGGGAACAGAGGCTTGAGTTTTTAAAAAATAGCTGTATTAGAACATTTTTATTTTTCTTGTGTAAATACTTAAATATTTACAAGAAAGAAGAATAATATAGATAATTTTGTGAGAGCACACAGAGTGAAAATTTGCTCTTTCTACTTTGTTCCTTTATGAGAATAACATGAGCAAATCCTACATGTTTCATCTTTTACCTTGATGACTGTCAAAAAGTTGGGTTTGTTCAACTAGAAATTATGTTTTATTCAGCACTGGAGGGTGTGACATTGAAGTCATTAGAGTGAAATTATTTAAACTGAATACTGTCATTCTTAAAAGTGATACATAAACCTTAGACTCGTTTGTTCTTTCTTGTACTAATTCTCCCTACCGCCCCCCCCCCTTTAAAACTGATTGTTCCATTTAGAATCAGTTCATTGTCGAATCAAATGATGAGCCCTATGTTAGGTATATTGTATTTTTGTTAGATCGATATGGATCCCAAGTAAGAAAATAATTACAGCCCTTACTGCTCACATAATTTAGTGTCAGTGAAGGAAAGAAAACGAAAGGAATTTAGCAAATTACATAAGAGACATTAAGTCTTGAACAGCGATGTGTCCTGTAGGTAAAAATAATAGTACAAAAAAATATATATTGGCAGAGAATTCACGGAGCGTTTACAACTTGAGTGTTGAATGGTTTGAGATTTTTATAATATTTGATGACTGCTTTAAAATCTCATCGTGTTTGTATAATAATTGTGTGATAATAGAGAAGGTATTCACAAGGTATTTCTTCAAGTTGTGCAGAACTCGGAGTAAAATTCAGTAGAATAAAACTTTGTTTTTAATTATAAAAATCATCACTAGCACTTGTGTAAACTTGTAAAAATACCCAAAACTTGTATAAATGTATAAATGTGTAAACTTGTATAAAACTGCTTAAAGTTTTTGCACATATGAAATGATTTGATTCGCACAACCTGAAGCATTGGGAAAGCAACTGCCTCACTTTTAGCTGAGAGAACTGAGTAACTGGCCTGAGGTCACACAAGTAACTGTGGTGAGGCCATGATTCAATCCCTTCCATCTGCAGAGGACTGTACTCCTTACCTACATCATTGCCCTGATGCTAAATTTGGTAGGTAATGTCCAGTCCCATTAGGATGGAGACATGAGAACGGGCTGGGTGGGACTCGAGGTGAGCCAACAGACACGGGGGTATGATACCCAAGGAGACACTCACATGAGATATATCTATACAAGCTCAGGGTCATACCTGAGTATGATGGATCCCCTCTTAAATTCACTCTCTAGAGCCTCCTTCTCTTCACTAGTCCTGGCTCCAATGAAAGAGAAGAATGGACAAACGTGACCACCAACAAAGGGACACAATAACGCTATTACATATCATTTTGCTAGGCAATGCACTATAACCCTGGAGAGTACAAAGAACAAAATATAATCATAATTGTAATCATTTAATCCTAGTTAATAAGTGATCAGTGTGAGTTGATAGGTAATAACGTTATCAATATTGTCCCATTCATTTCTTTAAAAATGAAGCAGCAAAAATTAGAAAGTTTAAATAATTGTTTAATATCACGCAGATAATAAGTCATGGAGGGCACCTGGGTGGCTCAGTTGGTTAAGCATCTGACTCTTGATTTGTGCACTGGTCAAGATCTCAGTCCCTGAGATGAAGCGCCATGTCAGGCTCTGTACTGAAAGCATGGATCCTGCTTGGGATTCTCTCTCTCTCTCTCTCTCTCTCTCTCTCCTGCTCTCAAATAAGTAAATAAACTTTAAAAAGTTTCATGAAAATAGCATTCAGACATAAAAAAAAATTGCTAGCTTGCAATCACAAACATTTGTGCAATTGGTCAACTATCTACCTTTTCTGAGATTTGATAGCCTTATCGTTAAAGAATGGTGAGTTTAAAAACAGTGATTGAAGAGTATGTTTTGGAGGAACAACAAAGAGAGTGGAGGGTAAAACTAGACAGACAGCCAACATCTTTTCTCTCTGCGCCCACACACCTTGCATACTACAGGTAATGAACACACTCTTGGTTGTCCCGATTTCCCAGGGTCAACCTGCTTTAGAGTTTTGTTTTGTTTTGTTAATCTGAATCAATGTTCTCAAGTTAATTTTTCTGAATAAAATCCTCTCACGTTTTCCACGTAGTAACCTTCTACAGGATATTCTTATGGGCACGATAACAATTCTAACATATCTTTAAAAACCATTTAGTGATTTGGACTGAATAATAGGGACATTTATGCTCAAAATCAGCAAATAAGGACAGAGTAGTGAAAACCTGAAAAAGGTAGCTGAAAATATATGTGAAAAGACGCTTTAAGATAAAGTGCTACTGCATGGAGAATTCGTAGAATGTACAATAGGGTTGTGAAGAAGTGCAGTTAAGTAGAAAACCAAATGTCAAAGTAATAGGTCTGTCCTCAGTGTAGTCAATGTTCCAGAGCCTGTGCTGAGTGGGGTATAATTTTTTTATCCTGGGCTGTGTTCAGAAAGTATCATGGAATGGCCCTGAAGCAAATTTCAAGGGAGTTTGACAGTGATAAGCCACAGGATCTAAACTGGAAGAATGGGACACATATCAATGGTAGCATCCTTAAATTGATAACAACGGCAATGATCATGAAAGCCCATCTGGACATTTTGAGCCAGTCTAAAGAACAAGCAATGTCAAGGCAGGTACAGTAAAAAGCACAGGCTAGATTTCTCCTTCCACAGGTGAAACACCAGGAAAAATGCCCAGACAAAAAATCTAACCAAATTAATGGAATGTGTTCTCTTGGATTTTGCAGCTATCCCCATCTCCAGTGGTTTCTATTTGGATTGTACTTGGTTGTCTACATCATTATGCTGATGGGCAATGTCACCTTAGTTCTGACAGAATTGGACCCTGATCTCAACTCCCATGTAGCATTATATTTGCTTGGCAGTTTTTCCTTCTTGGAAATCTGCTATACAGTGTTATCTATTACCTTCCCCGAATGCTTATGAATCTTAGGACCCAAATAGAACTTTTTTTTTATAGTTTAGTCATGCAAATCTTTGATCCTAAGTACCTCCATCTATAATACACCATGAAGAAATCAACACTCAATTCAAGAAGATTATTTTAGACTAAATGGGAAATCTTATTGCAAGCACTTGATCAACACAATGATAACTTAGTCAAAATCATTTTTGTCTTTTGTTTTTCCAGACATTATGTAATGGTATAATTGCCTTTTTTTGTTTAAATTTCTATATTGTCCCCCTATATCTCAATACATGAATAGATAATTGAGTCTCTGTAGGTCTCATTAATTCCTCATGATCACAATGTACTTGCTCACTTGCTAGCTAAAATATATATTCTCTGCCTTTGATGTTTCTGGAAACTGTCTCACAATGATATTGTATAATAATCTATAGTGTTCTATTATGATTTTTGTTTTTCAGTTCCGATATGTTATTAAAATGAGAATTTTTCAATGAAAGTGACCAATGGCAGTGAGAAGTCATTTGAGGATAAATTTGCTAGGCAGAGTTTCAGAAATCAAATTATCCATGTAATTCCTTCAATATTGCCATTATTAATAAGGAATAGTTCAGAAAGCATTTATCAAATATCTACTACATGTTTGGACAAGATAAAGAAAAGATCTTGCATTATAACATCTGATGACCATGTTGTTTATTTTATATTGATAAATAAATGAAACCAGAATGGTTTCAAATAAAGTGCATACACAAACAGTAAGAGCTACAGCTGTGAGGTATGGAATGGAAGGCAAGCTTGTACTTATAAAAAGCCACATGGGGGCATCTAAGTGGCTCAGTTAGTTAAGCGACTTACTCTTGACTTTGCCTCTGGTCATGATCTCACAGTCTTGAGATAGAGCCCTGCCTGGGTCTCCACGTTGGAGCATGGAGCCCACTTAAGATTCTCTTTCTCTTTCCCTTGGTCCCTCCCTGCTCATGCTCTCTCTCTCTCTCTCTGTCTCTCTGTCTCTCTAAAAAAAAAAAAAAAAAAAAAAAAAAGGCTTCCTGGAAGAATTGAGAAGTAACAAAAAAATATATCTCAAAATTTGGTGGTAACATACCACAAGGAAAAAGTGATGTAAAGGTTTCTGTCTCAGGATTCTGTTTGTCAACATATAAAGGATAAAATGGATTAATTTTCTCTGGACACAAACATACAAAAATTGAAAATTAACAATTCTACAACACATCATTTTCAGTCAAATTCTAACCTTGTATTACATATTAACTATGTTGATATATTTCGAATTTCTCCATTAGTTGTGTTCTTTATGCCCAGGATATGAAAAGCTGGAAATTAGTAAACAATAGAAATTTTATGTACTAATTTCCCCTAAGTTCCTTTTGTCCATAAAATTAGAAAACAGCCCCCAAAAGATAAATAACTAATTTCACTATTTTCACAGATGGAGAAAAAAACAGCAGAAGTAAATCTCACTTCAGTGACGGAATTTGTTCTTTTGGGATTTTCTGATATTCCCAATCTTCAAATGTTTCTTTTTGTAATATTTTTCTTTGTCTATGTGATAATTCTGATGGGAAATGGCATCATTGTTCTCATAGTCAGGGTTGACCAGGCTCTTCAGACGCCCATGTATTTTTTCCTTAGTAATTTTTCCTTCTTGGAAATCTGTTTTGTATCTGTCACTCTTCCCAGAATGCTCACAAACCTTTGGACTCAGAAAAGAAATATTTCTTTGTTTGCCTGTGCAACACAAATGAGTTTTGTCCTTACGCTTGGAAACATAGAGTGCCTCCTTCTGACAGTGATGGCCTATGACCGCTACGTGGCCATTTGTAACCCTCTGCACTATCCTTTAGTTATGAACCACAAGGTCTGTGTCCAGATGGTAGTGGCCTGCTGGATCACTGGAGTTCCAGTGGAGACAGGACAGACATACCAAATTTTCTCTCTGCCATTTTGTGGGTCTAACCAAATCAATCACTTTTTCTGTGACATCCCTCCACTACTCAAGTTGGCCTGTGGGGACACATTCCTGAATGAGATGTTAGTCTTTACAGTCGCTGTGCTGTTTGTTACGATCCCCTTTCTGTTGATACTTGGATCCTACATCAAAATCATCTCCACCATTCTCAGGTTGCCATCAGCAACAGGACGAACCAAAGCTTTCTCCACCTGCTCGTCTCATATCACAGTTGTTGTGATGTTCTTTGGATCCGCAATCATCACATATTTACGGCCCAAGTCTAAACATTCTTCCAGAGCAGACAAGTTTCTCTCTCTTTTCTATACCATTGTCACCCCAATGTTTAATCCTATGATATACACTCTGAGAAATAAGGATGCCATGATGGCCTTGAGAAAATTGTTACCTTAATGTTTAATGTATTAGCTTCCGATTTGAGCTCATTTTCTGTTTTCTTATTTAAGTCTGCCATATTGTAATCGAAAATTAATGTTCAGTTTGCTTTCCTACATTACTATACATTGATTATGTTTACTCATTGCTGAGTTTGTTTTGTGCTGGACTCTCTGATATCAGGATTGTATCCACATGGTTGCCCTGCTGATAAGAAATTAAGAAGCTAAGTATCCATCCAGCCAATCCCACCAGGCACCACTTTACTTCTCCCCCAAAGTTACTAGTGATGGCACTTTATATTTTTCTATAGCTGACTTGAGCAGTAGTTATAGGATGTTTGCTTTGTAAGGACTCACATGGCTGATAATTTATAAATTTTTCTGCAGGCATAGGATTTAAATCAAACACAACTATGTTTAAAAAGATGGAAGAAATACATCAAAATGTTCACACATGAGAGACAGTTTTGTTGTTTTAGTTTTTTTCCTCTTTTGTCTAAATTTTCTTTAGTGAACACATTTTGCTGGTAATGAAAGCAAAAAAAAAAAAAAAAAAAAAAAAAAAAAATACTGCTCTTTATTCTTTTAATGTCATCCTTCTGTTTTAACCTGAAAGCAAGCCAGTAAAATCAATCGCCCTTTGCTTCAAAAAATCATAATTGACCAAAAATCGTGTGATCCAACACTGGAGATACCACTGAATTGTTTTGGATAAATGACTCAAACAAGTATAATGGCCATACTTAAAACACAGTCACATATGATTTCCAACATTTAAAACAAATAAAAAATAATCTCCATTTCTGGTGATAATGTACATGGTCACAGCAAGCCCATTTTCCTGATGAAACCACTAAAAAAATTTGGGTAAACTGTAAAAGTCCTCTTTGGAATGCATCAGATAGCTGTGGAAGGAAAGAAGAATAGATGACAATATCAAAATGAAGGCTCATTGGGGGTGCCTGGGTGGCTCAGTCGGTTGAGCGTCCGACTTCAGCTAAGGTCACGATCTCACGATCCGTGAGTTCGAGCCCCGCGTCGGGCTCTGGGCTGATGGCTCAGAGCCTGGAGCCTGCTTCCGATTCTGTGTCTCCCTCTCTCTCTGCCCCTCCCCCGTTCATGCTCTGTCTCTCTCTGTCTCAAAATTAAATAAATGTTAAAAAAAAAAATAAAATGAAGGCTCATTAAGTCAGAGTGAGATAACCCACATGATCCCATTTAGTTGGCTTTCTTTTGCAAGCACAATGGTGTTATCAAATTCAAAACTGCCCAAACTCAGGGCACCTGGGTGGCTCAGTCAGGTGTCTTCCCTGGCCCAGTTTATGATCTCAGAGTTGGTGGGTTTGAGCCCCACATTGGGCTCTGTGAAGAAAGCTGGAAGCCTGCCTGGGATTCTCTGTCTCTCTGTCTCTGTCTCTGTCTCTCTCTCTGCCCCTCCCCTGCTTGCACTCTGTCTCTCTCTGTCTCTCTCTCTCAAAACTAAAATAAACATTATTTTTTTTAAACTGCATAAACTCATACACATTCAAGCTGGTTTGATTCATCAGAACAATGAGTTAGGGTCAGGCTGGTTCCACCTCCCAGGCTTGTGTGCATCACCTGTACAATCAGTGTAAATAATGTGTTGTCCTAATTGACTGCATAAAACTGTCAAAAAAATTTTTTAATAAACTGAGTCTCTACAGTTTGGTTTTTTTTTCCTTTTTCATAAACAAATTTGACCACCTTCTTATACGGTTAGAAGACGTTTCTTCATCTAGTTGGCCCATTTTTTCTTTTCTGCTGTTTTTTTTTTTTTTTTTTTTTTTTTTTACTTCTTGATATTTGAAATACTGAAAACTTGAATACTTGATGAATTTTTGTCAAATAGTAAATAATGAAAGAGGAAAACTTCATTCGGAGCCAAGATTGTAACAAATAAGCATGATATTTATTCATTTTCCTCTTAATGATATTTCAAGAAGAGACCTAAAATAAAACAATCCAGGGGTGCCTCGGTGGCTCAGTCGGTCTGGCTCTTGGTTTTGACTCAGATCATAATCCCAGGGTCGTGGGCTCAAGCCCCATGATTTACTCTACACTAAGCATGGAGTCTGCTTAAGATTCTCTCTCTCCCTCTGCCCCTCTCCTTTGCTTGGGATCTTTCTCTGTCTCTCTCTAAAATAAAAAATAAATTAATCAAAATAAAATAAGACAATCCAGCTAATAAAATCACCAACTCTTAAGAAATCCAAGAAGCATTTATAAAAAGAAAATAAAATATTTTATAAAGTTAAAGTTGTGTAAAATAGCGAAAGTGAGTTTTCAGTGTAATGTTGGTTTTGAAATAAATTCCGAGGTTTCAGTAGCTAATTTATATTAAGTATACATCTTCATGGCTGAAGATTAGGTCCAGATGTGGATAGTGACTAGTATCTAACTGATTTAGAATATTGTTACACATTCTGTTAATTATTTGAGTTTTCCCAGTAATTGATGCTTGAATTTAAAATAGAAATATTAGCTTACTAAATTTTATTTTCCTAGATTAATAAGGACTTCAACATTCAAAAGAAAGAATAGTAATATAGAAAACTTTGTGGCAGCACTCAGGATAAGTTTGCTTTTTCCACCTCATCTTCATGTGGAGAAAAAAATACACAAATCTTATGTATTTCATGTCATACATTAATAATTTGATTACCCAAAACTGGATACAATTACATTTCATTTAAATATTTTTTCTTTCTCTCTCTCTTAAAGAGAGTGAGAGAGAGAGCAAGCAGGCAGAGGGGCAGAGGGAGAGGGGGAGATAGAATCTCAAGCAGGCTTCATGCTATCACCAGAGCCCAAAGTGGGGCTCAATCCCACAAACCGTGAGATCATGACCTGAGCTGAAATTAAGAGCCAGATGGTTAGCTGACTAAGCCACCCAGACATCCCACAATTACATATTATTTAGCATCAAGCACTATTTTATTTAATTAATGAGTGAAACTATTTATCTTAAATGCTACCATTCCTAAAGGTGATCCATCAATACGATTTTTTCTTTTGAATATTAATTTTTTTCCCTTTTAAGAACCAGGATTATCAATTTAAGAGACTTTTATTTTAACTCACTTCAGAATCAACCTGAGCATTGTATTAGGTGAAAACATTCACCATATGTACTTTTGACAAGGAATTTGTATCCATAATACGTAAAGAATACTTGCTATCCAATAATACTGACAACCAAGGAGCGGGGAGAAGAGCAAATGGACTGAATGAGCACTTCATCAAAGAAAACCTACAAACAGTCAATAAGAACATAAAAATAGGCACATACTTAGTCACAAGAGAAATGCAAATCAAAACCATAACGAAAGACCACAACCCATCCATTAGTATGGCAAAAAGTGAAAACTTTAATGATGCCAAATGTTGGGGAAGGTCAAGCTATTATCCTTACCCCACACTGCTGGTGGAAGTGCAAAATGTTGTAACTATTTTGGAAAATATCTTTACAGTTTCTTAAAAGACAACATCACACCTACAACCCAACCCAACCATTTCACTCTCATTTACCCCAAATGGAAATATACGCCCTACTCCAAACTTGTTCAGAAATATGCACAACAATCTATGTGATAGAAACAACTAAAATCCCATCCCCAGATGAATGGATGAACACACTGAAGTGTATTTATCCAAGGGGAATTCAATTCTGCAGTGAAAATCAATGTGATATACACAATACAGATGAATTGAATCTTAAAGTTTTACACTAAGCAAAGACTCCAGTAAAAAACAGAGGACATTCGAATTGATTATGAATGATCAAAAGCTACAGAAATCTGATCAGTGGTTCCCTGGAGTTGGAGGTGAAAGGAAAACAGATTGTGAAGCTGCACAATGGAATGTTTCAAGATGATGTGAATGTTCTGTATCTTGATTGTGGTAAGAGTTTCACAAGAGTATATGCTCATCAGATTTCATCAAATTTCAAATGTCATTGAATGTATTTTAGAAGTTGTACTTTATTTTATGTAAACTATGCCCCAATAATGTTGCTAATTTAAGAATGAAATTGGGGTGCTGGGGTAGATCAGTTGATTAAGCATCCGACTTATGATTTCGGCTCTGATCATGATCCCATGGTCCCTGAGATTGAACATAGAGTCTGCTTGGGATTCTTTCCCTCCCTCTTCCTCTAACCCTGCTCCACACTTTCTCTCTCTTTCTCTAACTCACTCATTATCAAAATAAATGAATAAACGTTGGAAACAAAGAATAAAATAATATTATATTGGATTAGACATAAAATATATCTTTTTAAAAAGGTAAAATATAGATATGTACCACCAATAATTACTGTTATGTAAATGTCATGCTAGAACTTCAGTCTAAAAGCTTACATATGGAGGTATCTGGGTGGTTCAGTTGGTTAAGCATCAGACTCTTGATTTTTAGCTCATGTCATGATCTCAGGGTTGTGAGATCAAGCCACACTTTGGGCTCCACACTGAGTGTGGAACCTGTTTAAAATTCTGTCCCTCTCCTTCTGCCTCTTCCCCCTGACTTGCATGTGTGCACTCTCTCTCTCTCCCTAAAATAAAAAAAAAAAATATATTAAAGGTTTACAAGTTATAGCATGATACAGCACATTGTTAGTGTGAACACTGTGGCAGAGCCTGGCTTATTGCTTTCCAAATATATTCCCATTTCTTTGATATATGATAAACAGTATTCCCTAGCCCTCTCATATCTACATTAGACCATGTGATTAGTTTCTACAATAGTACAAGGAGAGAGGTGATGCGATTATTCTGTGTTGAGACTCTTAAGAGTTTATTTGTTTCCTTATTTTCTGTATATCTTTAATTCTCAGCTGTGTGAATACTGAAGATCCAATAGGGAACTCCAAAGATAAACAAATTAGGGGAAAATGGGATTCTTAGATAAAAGGAACCAGCTTCTTCTTTTTATTTTAAGTGTATTTATTTTGAGGGAGAGAGAGAGAGAATGAGCAAGTGCATGAACAGGGGAGGGGCA